AACCCCAAAATGTGATTTAATGCTCTGAAAAAATCTGGTTTCCCCACTCTGTGCTGATTGCTTCGAAACATAAGGAAACCATGTGGGACCCGGTGTGAAAGGAAATGAAAATGAAAGGTAACAAAGTGCCTGCACTTACAGTAAGGGACTGCGAATGGCTTTTGGATCTTTCCTGCCATCTCTCCCACCCCTAACCCTCATGTTAATTTTTTCATGATGAAGCAGTACTGGGAAGCTCTTTTTCCTTCTTGGCAATTGTATTTTTTCCTCTGCAAAAGCAGTAATTCAATGAACTACGTGATGAATTATTGTTGTTGTTATTATTTCTCAATTCCATTCTGGCCACTGTGGTGTTCAGTGATTCATTTTTTCCTAAAAATAATTCTTTAAAGACCCATTTAAAACTAATGGCATGATGGCAGCTGCAAGCTGGTGTGGTGTTAATTTTGGAAGAAAATAGGCAGGAAAAAAAAAAGACAAATCATGTAAAAAATAGCCAGCTGGGAGAACAGCAATAATTAGCTGAATTCTGAACATTTTTCTCCTGTTGTTATGGGGGGAAAGTATCAGATAATTTCACACCAAGTTTTCTCTGTTTTTTATAATTGTTTTGAGACCACGCTTGGATGGCAGAGCTTGAGTTTTGAAAAGCTTTCCAAGAACTGTTCCAAAATCTCCTGTGACTGATGCTCTTTAGAGCTGCAGGCGCATTTGGCAGAGAGCACAGGGCGTTTCCGGTGCTGGGTCTGGTCCAAACCCCGCGCCCACGCCGATGTGATAACGGAGAGGTTTCAGCAGCCGCCATGGTGCTGATGCAGGGCGCGGGGCCCTGTGCAACCCGCAGCCTGGTGGTGCTGAGCTGACTGGTGCAGGCACAGCCGACTGCCACAGGCCCTGCAAACCCCATCCACCCAGCCCCTCCCCAGGGCGCTACTGCCTGGCAGCAGCTCCCTAAAACCAGGCACCATGGGGCAGAACGATTACCGGGAGGAGCCGATATTTTCCAGGTGGTCATTTGTTCATGTGGCCACTCACTGAAGAAATCTAGCGATATAGTTTTACCAGCTGGTAAAAAGACACCTGTAAAATCATTTATTCTTCTCCCTGCAGGGGAACAATGCTTATTCTCCGTTTAAATGTATTTTTCAGGACAGCTAGATTGGTTGGAAGAGTGGAAGCAGAGCGCTAGCACATGCAAACTGATACGGGCCATCTGGGAAAGCTGCTGCTGCTATAGATTTATAGCGATCAGCTTGGCATGGCTCTCCTCATGCAGGGATTTGTCTCATCCTGACCAGCAGACAAACAGGTTTCCACTCCAGAGGAAGGATTATGAAGCAAAGCCTTTAAGTGGGACCGAGCCCTGCAGGTGGATTTCCCCCGGGATGGGGAAGACGCAGCATCTCCCCCCACCCCTTGCTGTGGCACGCAGAGGGCTTGGCAGCCCCCCCAGCCCCATTAAACCACATTAAATCATCCCCCAGGATGGGCAAGATGCAGCATCTGCCCCCACCCCTTGCTGTGCTACGCAGAGGGCTTGGCAGCCCCCTCCCAGCCCCATTAAACCACATTAAACCATAGGGATTTTCTTCTGCTGTAAGCATGCCCTCCGAGGGCTGCGGTCCTGCTGGTTAACTCTGCCAGGTCACAAGCTGTCTGCTGGCATCGGGCTCCCCTGTTGCCGTTTCGGATGTCAGCTGCCCCTCCGGCCTCACTGCAGAGCCGGCACAAGCTCTGCATCACAGTTTGGCTAAACCGACGGTGTTTGTCACCGGAGTCGCTCTGCTCCCCTCCCTCCCTCCCTGGGTGCAAATTAGCCCAGCTCTGCTCTGGTTGCTGGGTTTGCACCCGTTGACCTCAGCCAAGGTCTCTCCCGTGATGCCAAAGGACCCCATACACCCACCAGCCAGTGAACCATCTCTGCTCATTTCCAGCTGAGCCTCTCACCCCGGGGTGAAGGATTTCCCCACTCTCACCTTCTTAAAGGTCTTTTCCAACCTAAACGGTTCTATGATTCTGTAGCTGGCTGAATATGAGCCAGCAGTATTCCCAGGTGGCCAAGAAGGCCAATGGCACCCTGGCTTGTATCAGGAATAGCGTGGCCATCGGGAGCAGGGAAGTCATCCTTCCCCTGTACTCCGCCCTGGTGAGGCCGCACTTTGAAGCCTGGAGAAGAGGAGGCTGAGGGGAGGCCTTATCGCCCTCTACAGCTGCCTGACAGGAGGGGGGAGCCGGGGGGTGTGTGTGGTGTGTGTGTGCTGGGATGGTCTCTTCTGCCAAGTCACAAGCAATAGGACAAGAGGAAATAGCCTCAAGTTGCACCAGGGGAGGTTTAGGTTGGACATTAGGAAAAATTTCTTCCCTGAAAGTGTTGTTAAGCATTGGAATGGGCTGCCCAGGGAAGGGGTTGAGTCCCCACCCCTGGGGGTATTTAAAAGATGGGCAGACGAGGTGCTTAGGGACGTGGTTTAGTGGTGGGATGGCAGTGGTTAACAGTTGGACTTGATGATCTTAAAGCTCTTTTCCAACCTAAACAATTCTATGATTCTATGACCCATGAGATACCTCTTCCTTAACAGTCAGGGCAGCCATGAGCAAGCCCTGTGGAACCACGTGCTGCTTCAGGCTTTGTAGCTGCTAATACTGAAGAGCCTCACAGCGACTCCAAAACGTGACACTTATAATTTACCACCACCACCTCATCAGACTCCTTTCCCCTCCTTTGAACAGCTCACACCTCCCCTGTGTCGTCTCAGTGCCTCGTTCCCCTTCTCCTGGGTCTTTTCCCAAAGGGATGGCTCGTTAGGGGGGAGACTGAGCATCTCTGTTTGCTCGCCCTGGCCGCTGTCCCCAAGCCCTGCGTCACTCCTCACTGCGCCCGTCATCCGGCGCGGCGACAAGGAGCAGCCCGTCAGGAACGGGTGAATGTGGCATTTCCCTTCGGCCAAACACCTCCATCTTCTGAAATGCCAGAGCTGCCAAGCAATTACCGGGCGCGCAAGGCGGGCCAGTGAAAGCGGGGTAACTGGGGACAGACTGACGACAGACTGCCACTGGCTCCCTCCTCCCCCTGCCCACAACAGCAGCCTTTCCTGCGTTTTGAAGTGCGATCTCAGGCTGAGTCCCCTTTTACATGTGCGAGGCCAGAAGCATCAAGACACACCAGCAAGGGGACTGAAGTCACTCGGGGACATGAGGGTGTCCCCCCCCTCCAGAAAGGGGCTTGGAAGAGGGACCCTGTGAATGGCTTTGGAAGAGAAAAAATGTGGGTTTGCCCCACGACTGCCTGCACCCAGCCTGGATCTCACTCAGAACTACCCCCAGCTGAAACGAAAGGAGAAGTGGAAACCATAGACACCAGCCGTCCCTGCTCACGTCGGGATGTGTTGCACCTCAGAGGGAGAAGGGGCAGACACAGGGTGAAGACCAGCAGGGCCATGACGGTACTTGGCTTTTGTGCCTCTGGGGGAGACGTGGGAGAAGGGAGGGTCCCACGATGCCACCCGTCCCCCTGTGGCCGCCTGCTTGCTGCAGCGTTAAGACTCCCTATAGCCCTGGCTCCTCAGAGCAGCTTTCAAGCAGCGTCACATCCCAAATCCTACCTCAAAGGCATGAGATTGGACCAGGACACTCTCCTTTCTGGCCAGAGGGAAAATGGAGTAAATCCACGTCTGCACCCCTGCTTTTAACAGCACACAGAGCTTCTCCTTGGGAACAAAGCCACCTTGGAAAATGGAAGATCCAGCCTGTACCCTGTGGCTGTCTGGGGGGTCACCCCAACCCAGAAGGCTGAAATTAAGAGTTTGGCACAACCAGCCTGCAGGCACTGCCTCCCTCTTGCTCGCAGAGAGCCACGACCCCTCTGAGCCTCCGAGACCCAGAGACTTTCCCCAAAAAGACACACAACTGGATGCTACAGCACAGCCAAACAGGGCTACAACAGGTAGTGGCAGCCAGTAATCCCACACAGACCATTTTCTCCAATGTTTCCCAGCATATTAATGAAAATCCTGAGCCTAAAATGCACAATTTCATATGGCTCTGTCAGATGTGCTGCTTGGGAAAACAAAAAAAGGTCAAGCAGACTTGCAAAGCCAGGTTTTTCCCCCTGAAGCTCCTTAAATCTTCTTTTACATTCAAGCAGCTTTGCATTTCATCTGAAAAGCAACCACTCCAAGGTGCGACCTTCTGGCAGCCCCATGACCCAACACATCAGCTCCAACCCTTGAACTCATCTCCCTAAACTACAAGAAAGCAGCTAAGTAGCGGGGCCAATATCAGCCCCAGGAGCTGCCAGGCGCTGCAGGTTAACAGCAGAGGGGCCAGTTTGCAAGCTGTGTTGCCTTTGGCAGCTGCTGCAAGCTCTTGAGGCCAAACTTTTTGAAGGGACGCATCATATACGCTGGGGGTTGGCATCTGGAAAGGCCAGATCCTGGGTGAGGCATATCTGCTTGGGCGATGCCTCAGCTAAATAGCAAGATGTGATGTGTAATCAGGGCTGAGGTGAGTTAGCAGAGACGGAAAGGAGCTGAGAAGTGGAGCAGCAAGGTGGGACGAGGGTTAGGCCTTGGGAGCATGAACCTGCCTGGAAACCCAGAAAGAAATGGAGGTGAGAAGAGTCAAGAGAAGAGTCAAGAGAAGAGCATGCCACGGGGATGTGATGACCAACTCTAACCAGTCCTGTGGCTCAGGTCCTTGAGGAAGGGCAAGGGAACCGATGACCTACCAGCCCTTGTTTCTCACAGTCACAGAGTATGTGGGAAAAGTTCAAGCACAAAAAAGCACAACATTGTTTTCCACATCCCCTAGGAGCCGGACAAGGAATCCCAAGCACAATTTGCAGGAAGAGGGTGTGCAATGGATACTGAGGAACACCTGTAACAGGAAAGGCTGCGATCCTTGGGGTCGCAAAGTTCAGCAATACCGACCCTGAGGCGCACCAACAGCTTGGGAACCTGTTACAACCCCGGCCTTCCCACAAAGAAGCAGAGCACACTCACCTATCCTGGTGGGGAAGATGTCCTCGTTGTTAATGAGCATCTCAATCCAGTCCATCAGCATACACATGTACTGCGGGGCTGACAGCTTGGTCGGCTTCTTGTATTTGCTATCGTCCTGCCACCTGTACTCATACTTGAGCCCACCCGACATGATGGGGCAGCTCTTCTCCGTGCAGTACTCCGACATGGTGCCGTAGATGAGGTTGATGCGGTTGAAGAAGTCCACCACGTGCACGGCGATCCAGTCATTGATGCTCTCACCTGGAGGCAGCTGCACCACCGCTTTCAGGTCCAGCCCGGACTTGAGGGAGGCCTGGGCTTTCTTGTACAGCTCGAAGCGCTGGGTGCCCGGCTCAAACTTCTTTCGGGGACGAAACGTTTTGTCTTTGTTGAAGACTTGCTTGAGACACAACGCCATGGTGGGCAGGGCCGGCCAGGGTGGGGGCAGAGGCTTGGCGCAACGTAAAACTCAAGGCTGGTGTCTTCAGGAGTGGAGGTTTCTGGGAGGAGAAGGAGAAATTTCGATCAGCTGCAAGCAGCTGCATGCATGGGCTTGCAGGGACGAATTCACATCAGGGTGCTGGCTGGCCCCACTGCTGTGGCAGCGCACAAGGACAGAGATTTGGGGTGAGCTCCTGGCCCTTCTACACTCAAGCGAGGTGACCTGGAGCCACTGTTGCCACCTCACACAGCAGCTCCCAGCACCAGAGAGGGCGAGCGCTGCCACACGTGCCCCGTGCAAAGCTCGATGGCAGATGGAGCCCCTCTTCCCTCAGGAGCACACCAGGAGCTCAGCAGGGTCCAGCAGCCTCTCACCTCCAGGGCTTTTGTCAGTAACCGCTGCCCTAAAGCGAAAGCCACAGTATCAGCAGAGCTCACCAGTCCTGCCAGTCCCAACCTGGTGGCCCTTTCCTCTTCCAGAGAGGGGGAAGCGTCTCTTTCCCAGGGATTTCTCAGGGTGAATAACCCCTGGCCCTGCCACGGTGGCTGGCGAGCAATGCCCCAGGGACCAGCCGGCTGCTGGTTCACACAGCCCCAGCGCCGAGATCAATGGGAAAAGGGGGGACTTATTTTTGTTGTTCTGCTCCATGTGTTTGTTCAAAAGAACAAAACCTGCATCCGAAGAAGGGAAACAACAGCCCAGCACAGCAGCACATCGTGCCAGGATGCGGCCGGCCCTCCAGGCATGCACACAATGCATGCGGGAGCGGTTGGGGTGGCGAGCTGATGCGCCGGGTGACGGGGGTGACTCGGTCTGGAAGTCACGGCTCGGCAAAGCGCTGAGCTCACCCCTTCCTGCCTGAGCTCAGCAGCACAGGCGAGGGCTGCGGTGTTTCCCTTTTTTTTTTTTTTCCCCCTCCTCCCTGAAGCTCCAGTGGCAATACCATCCGCCCCGGGCTGTCCCAGACAGGCTGCAATATGCTTGTGCGTTTAGTTACTTGCACTCACCACCAGTGGTGGTTATGTGAGATCAAAGCCCTCTTGTGCTAAATGTTTTGCTGAGGCTTAGGGAAGAGAAAGTTCTCCAACAGCTTCCCCCTGACAGGAGGAGATGGAGAAAGAGTTAAAAAAAAAAGGAAGAAAAAGATTCACGGAAAGGGGAAGTGACTTACCCAAAGTCACGAGCAGGAGGGAATGGTGCCCAAGCCAAACCTGGATGCACATTCATCATTTAAAAGACAGCTTTCAGCCAAAAGCTTGCTATATAAACCCTGCTCTCTAAACTTAGTCGTGAGCCACAGGCAGATTCTATTTTGCCTAGCAGAGACCAGCTAAACATCTTGCAAGGGAGTCCCCGTGCTGCCCTGAAAGTCCACCCACAGGGGCATCACTGGGAGGCAGCAGGACCTAGTGATCACCCCGAACACCAGCAGGATCTGCCCTGCGGGGATTTCTACACCACAACCAGCATCTGGCTGCAGGGGGAAAACCCTGGTGTGGGTCCAAGTGCAAACCCTGACGTGGTTGCAAACCCTGACATGGGTGCTGTCAGTGCACTAACCACGGCTGGAGCGATGCTTTGCCACCATTACGTAGCTCGCAGCATGGTGGTACCAAACCCTGCCACACTCTGCTGTACCCAGGTACAACCAGACCTGAAACCATATGGTTTTAGGTGCTTTTTGCCCCACGGAGGGGGTCACAGCCATCACACATCGTTACACAGAGTGACTGTAATACCAGGGTATCTGCAAACCTTTCCCAGCTCATGTGGCTGGGTGGGATTTTAACAGCTCCAGCCCGGTTATCCTCATTTATTGCTGAAGGGCAATGACTGGAATGTATTTCCTGGATGCTTTTTCCTCCCCTGCCCCAAGCAGCTGGCTCTGGCCATATCAAAGAGCTTCAAAAAAAGAGCAGCAGCTCTCCAAAATGCCAACCGATGGAGGGAGCCAGAATCGTGTCATGACTCCTACCTGTCCTGAGGGGAAGGGTCTCCTGTACAGCAGCCCCGAGGGAGCCCCACAAAGGCCAAGGGACGCTGGGCACAGCGAGGCTGTAAAGAAAAGCCCTTATCCGGAGCTTCCCACCAGGCTGTCGCATATTCAAGGCACATCCTGTTGATAACACCTCTAAAAAAGGCTTCTTGGGGAGTTTGCTAATCCATAACAGTTTCTAAAATACATACATATACGTACATATAGAACTACTGCAGTGGGGATCCTGATCGAGTAACATAGGAGGTGCCGGGCTTCCCTTTGGGATGAGGCATCCAGCAGGGTCTGCCCGTACGGAGGTAGGCACGAGGGGGCTGAGCAGAGCCTGGCCCTGCAGGCAGCGTGGGAGGGAGGGGGCCAGCAGCGCCTCTGCTGCTTTCCCCCCCCCCGGCCCGAAGCACTTGTCACTATAACTGGCTCTGCCAGCAAGCCAGGACACAGGGCTGCCACCACCAAACCAGGACATGGGGCTGTCCCTGCCCTGCCACTGTCCCTGCCCTCAGGCATGGATTATTTTTCCCCTCTCCTTCTCTCCTGTCACCAGCCAGCGGCACAGGGCTCTGGCTGAAACCTGAAGACCATTCAAATGAGAAAAAGTAAACAGTGGTGCACCTAATGAGAAGTCAGGATTTCCCCATCTGACACTTGGGAGCTTCCCAGGAGGGGGCTGAGGCAGCACCCACTAATCCATCCTGCAGCTCCCTCATCCCCATCCCCTGCCAGTCTGCAACCCCCAACAAAGCCGAGCAGCCCCTTTGCCCAGCACCCAAATAAAACCCAGTGACTGCCGCCCCGCAGGGCTGGACAGGCACCGCGCGGCACCACACCAAGCCTGTGCCCTCGCCCTCTTTGCCGGGTAGATGGAGGATGAACAGCTTGGTTATCCCCTCGTTAGGCCAGACCGATGCCACTGGGTCACACCGTCCCTCTGGGTTAACAGCAATACAAGCGAGGACTGGGATCTAACCCAGGAGGTTTCCCTGGGATTTCGGCGACGCAGGTTGTGCCAACAGACATTTCCCCATGTTGCTGTTTCTGCTGGCCTCAGCCCCATTCACTCGGCTCCAGGAGCTGTTGCTGTTTGCAGGCTCCTCCAGGCGGAGGCCATGTTTGTTCTGGGGTGACAAGAAGCTACCCTGGCAGATGATATCCCATCAAACACATCACTCGCAGGGGCCATCAGCAGTGAAATCTGTTCTCTCTGAACATGGTAGGGTTCCTGTGCCTCATCCTGAAAGCCCTCTGCAAATATTGAATCACTCACTGGGAAATAAACTCTGCATCTCATGTCCTGAAGCCATCCTCCTGCCCCGTAACTCATCCCACAACTACGTCTCTGCATCATTCACAGCTGGAGCTCCGTGTTACCCTACTCGCTCATCAGGCAGGTGGGAACGTGCTTCGTGCTTAGAATCACAGAATATTAGAATCATTTAGGTTGGAAAAAACCTTTGAGATCAAGTCCAACCTTTAACCTAACACTGCCATCCCACCACTAAACCATGGCCCTAAGCACCTCATCTACCCAGCTTTTAAATACCTCCAGGGATGGGGACTCGATCACTTCACTGGGCAATCCTTTCAGTGAAAAAATGTTTCCTAATGTCCAGCGTAAACCTCCCCTGGCACAACTTGAAGGTACCATCTGAAAAAAACACCTTCAGGTGTTTGGGCGGTGAGCACCAAGCATGCTTCAGTACCATCCGAATAAAGCACCAGGTTAAAAAAACCAAACAAACAAAAGCAACAAACCTGCTAAACATCTGCCACGTATTTTCCTACCATGCATCTCTTAGAGATCCCCAGGAAGGGGGGAGCAAAACCCGTTGCTGCCCAAGTGCTCAGAGCAGACCTGTCCTCTGAGCCCGCGGGGTGCTGGCACGGCACCCCAGCCTCCCTGCTCCCTGGGCACGCCGGAATAACACAAGCGGTTTTGCTTTCAGGATCCTCACCAGCATTGCTACCAAATTACCAAATCACTAAAAGGCCTTGTGAAGCCTTACTGGAGAAAAATGTTCTCGAGAAATTAAATTTAACACAAAGCCAAAAACACAGCCTGGGATTTATGACCCAAAGAAGCGGGGAGAGGTGCCGGGCCAAAAACCAGATTTCTTCTCTACCTTGCTCCAGAGCTTTCACTGCCTGGAGAGATCAGTGTGCAGGGAAGGATGGGAGCGGTGTAGGGAGGGTGCTGCTTGGGGGCCAGGACTGGGGCTTGAAGTAGCAGCTACCGCCCTTGCGGCTGGGGCACTGAGACAGGACACACCAGCTTGGAGCAAACAGGCTCTGCAAAGTCACCAATGCCTCAGTTTCCCCTCAGGCAATGACCAAGCACCTGGACTCCCCTTTCTGGGAAGAAAGACAAAATCCTTTGGGAATGGTCCCAGATGCATCCCGAGTCTAACTGGCGGAAAAGGGCATGAGCAGCAAACGCAAGACCAGATTTTTCCTGTGTCCACCTGTATGCAGCCAACTCAGCCAGCGCTCTTCCATCACTGGCCGAGTATTTGGGACAGGTCCACGTAAAGAGACAGAAAATGCGAGATCTTCCAAGGTTTAACTGTGGTGCGGAGTTCAGCTCAGCCTGACGTTCAGGGCTGTCATGTTCCTGGAAATCAGGCTGTGGGTCCGCTGGGGCTTGGGGTGGGACAGGAGACCTGTCCAAGTCCAAATCACTGCTCATGCTGCCTGTTTTGGGAAATCCAAAGGAGGGCGAGCTGCCATTCAACAAGCTTAGACAGCAGCTTCCTACGACATGACTGTACACATCCCGCTGCCGTGACGGCAGGGCCTGGACTGGCGCCATGGCGGCAACCTGCAGGTCTCTGCCTTTGGTTCCCACATGCAAAATCAAAGCTTCCCCGAGAGGAGCCTTGGCAAAGGCTGCAACCCCACTCCACCACGCCGCAGTTCCCATCATGGGGTGGTGCCGGCACCCCAGAGACTCACACATCCCCCTCTGAAGCATCTGCAAACCCCCAAATCAGGCCTCGTCCTGCTCCCAGGAGTGAAGCAGGTGGCCATGGAGCCGGAGTCTTTCCCCGCTGTGTCATTCCACGTCCCCACTGAGGACAGTCGGAGGGAGGATGAGCGAAGCTGCCGGGCGGAAAGAGGCCACCGCTTCCCATGGGCCATCCACGCCATGGCATGCTCTGTGCTCGCTGCCCAAAATAGCCTTGGCTTTGCAGAGGGTTGGCTTCAAACCCAGCTGAGCAGCCGCAAAGCCCCGTCCATGGCTGCAAAGGCTGCTGGCTTCGGTCCTGCCCCTGTTTTTACCAGCAGCAGCAGAAATGAAACTCAGTTAAGTTTAGCAAGAGCCAAATGAGCGCAGGGTTAAGCTCTGCGAGGGCAAGGCAGAGCCACTGCCAGGGACGTAGCAGGCAGAGACACGTGAAAAACTGATTTCCTAGATTGCTGGCAGCTCCAGAGACAAAAGGAAATGAACTGGATGGGGTGTGGGGGGGATGTAAGTTCAGGGTCAAACAAAGCCACTAATTTCAGATTTGAGGGCTGTTTTGGTATTTTACTTAAGCTTTTTTTTTTTTTTTTCTTTTTTTATCATTTGAAAACCACAGAGGAACACGGCAAGACGAAGGCTTTGTTGTAAATTAAAAACAACTCTGAAAGGTCTGTTTGGAAACTGGCAAAACAAAAGGGGAAAGCAGGCAGAGCGGCGGGAGGGGGGCTTCCTCCCCCCCAGTCCTGCAGGCGCAAGGCAAGGCCAGCAACAAAACCTCCAGTTTTGATCCCAAATAAGCGTTAGTCAGAAACCCAGGAGGAAGGATCAGTCAGACACACTGCCAGTCTCCAGCGTGATGGGCACCAGGGATGGTCCCATGCTCCCTGCCTCAGTTTCCCCAATTTCAAAACTCCTCTCCCTCCCTGGCTGCCTTTATATTAAGGGTTGCAAAAGCAAAGGCTTCAGGGGGAAAAGAGCTTTGCAAGTGCCCCTGGGAAGCACTAATGCTTGCGGAGGGTAAGGAGAGAGGAAGGCTCCCAACACTGGCACCTCCTGCGGCCCCGGTGCCGAGTGCATCCTCTCTGGATCTGTCCCGAGACGGTTACACGCTCGCACAAGCATCTGACGGGAAACCGCAGGCGGCCGCTTTGGCAGCACGCTCCAAGCCTCGCCGGCACTGCAACCACTGGGGAGCACCACGAGGGGTCCAATGCAGTGGGCAATCCGCAGGGAGACTCCGTCTCCCACTGCTTTGGGAAGAGGCCATGGAGGGAGAGCGCAGATCTGTGCAGCTCCAGGTACAATAGAGCAAAGGTGTAGTTTAAATACTACCAGCTCTGCACATCCCCCTCAGGCTTACCCAGGGGATCTTGCCTTCGACTGCCCAGATGTCTACTTCTGCTTCCCTGCTTTAGGGGATTCCCTTCTCCCCGCCACAGGCAGAATGAAAGCCCCATCCTGCCCCGTCCCCAGCAGAGGAGCAGGGCAGGCATCAGCTCAGCCACCGTCTGCCAGAGCCCCGAAAGAGCCAGCCAGCCTCCAGATGGACAGCCTGACCAGAAACCAGCTGGCCCCAGGGCTCAGCTGGCTTTTTGCCGCTCTAGAAAGCCTTACTGTCTGGCTGCTGACTTGACAGCCCTGTTTCTTAAGTTTCCCTTCAAGCCCCAGAGAAGTCCCGTCACAAAGTCTGGTCTTCCACCTGTCCCAGAGCATCTTTGCAACCGGGACTTCTTCCTGGTGGACTTGAAAGTACATCAGAAGCGCCCCAAAGGCCAGAGCTGCCTGTCCTGAGTGTCCCCTGCACTGCAGCCACCCCAGCCTCAATCTAGTCAGGGGCTGTGGGCATAGGGGGCTCCTAGAGAGGGGGTGGTAGCCCCTCTTTTCCAGCCTTCGCAATAGCCACGTCTAGCTTTAATCGTCCAAGGAAGGGGGGGGGGGTGCAGGAGGAGGATGCCAGGGAGCACAATCCTGGGGTGCTGGCCCCGCTTCCTCTGTGCTTCCTGCTGGAGCCAAGCCCCAGCTGGGCTGTCCATGAGAAACGGGGTTATTGGCTGCTGATCCCAAATATAACCCAAACGATGGAAAATTCCAGGAAATGAGCCAAGACAAGATGCTGGGAGGGGGATCAAGGCCCAGCATGTGGGCTGGGGGAGCTGCAGAGAAGCCCTGAGCTCTCAGTAGCTTCTTCCTGCCTCCAAACCCCCTTGTGCAAACCCCCTTGGTGCTGTGGAGACCCATGAGAGGTGCAAGCATCCTCCAAGGCAGTCCCCGAGCACCCATCTCCGGAGCAGCCACCTCCAGAGCAGCAGCAGGACTCAGCCATGCTGGTGCTTCCCCCGGCTTGACCGGCGCTTGGAAATCCCCAGCTCATGTAAAACAGACCCAGCACAGCTTCCAGGAACAGGACTGCATGCACCTTGGCTTGCCCCTTGGGCAGCCCCGCTCCCCCCCGGCACTGCCCCGCTCCTTGCCCTGCCTCCCTGCCATGCCACCAGCAAAGCAGCAGCCCCCTGGGGACCACAGCCTGTCCCAAAGGTGCTGAGGAGGTTTTTCCCAAGTCACCCAAGATGCCTCCAGGCAGAAAAGCAAAGGCCCATCTCTCCGGGCTGGAGGCAGCGTATCCAGTTCATTTTGGGGGTGATGCCCTTGAGGGTCTGGGGGATCTTTAGGGGTACCTCATTCCTGGGGGGCTGCAATCTTGCTGCCAGGGACTTGCTGGGAGCCCTGCAAAGAGGTGTCCTCCACGGTGCCAGACTGCTCTGGTTCTGTCCCAAGGGCGATTACTTCACCGTTAGATTCGTAATCCCAAACACCGGGAGCTCCGGTCCTGCGAGTTTGGGGAAGAAGATGAGAGGAGAGAAGCCAGCTGCTGAAAACCCATCTCCACCACTCGTTCTCACCCCGTTCCCCCCACCCACAACTTACCACCCTCCCTCTGTCGCTGCCGGGATTCTCCCACCCAGACAACGCATGTCTGCCCACACCGTGTGCTGCCGGCAGGAGTGCCTGTCCCCCCTTCCCCTGCTTGTCCCCCCTTTCCCCTGCCTGTCCCCAATTCCCCTGCGCACCGCAGGCCATACGCACTAATCCCCTGCCCCGCCGGCGGTGGCTCCAGGATCCTCCTGCATCCTCAAAAGAGGCTCCCTCTGTATTTACACACCAGCAGCTGAGCGGAGACGCGCCGGAGGAAGGGGAAGAGCCTTCTGCAGGCGGCCATGCCCTGGCCGGGATTGCTCCTTCCCCAGCTAACCCCAACCAGGTTTTCCCCAACCTGTGCTTAAAAGCCCCCGAGGAGCATCCTTGGGGATGCAGCACTGGCTTTTTGCACCCCCAGCACTCACCTCATTCCCTGGCACGCCCGCCTACCAGCCCCAAATTCCTCCGCTGCACTTTCTGCTCTTACTGAGGAAAAAGCAAAAAAAAAAAGAAAAAAAAATTAAGAAGAAAAAAGTCTAAGCCGGGCTCCCCGTGGGGACTGTTGGCGGATTGGGGATCGCGGCGGAGGGAGAGCCGCTGCGCTCTGGCGCTCGATGGGGCTTCGTTACAGAAACCCGGGCCGAGGGTTTTTCTCCGGCCGGTGATGTCACATCCTGACCCCGCCGGCAGCTCCAGCTGTCCCTGGAAAACCCGCTGGGAAGCCAGCCTGTAGCCCCCCGCCAGCCCCGGCGGTGGGCACGCGTACGCTCGCCGGCACCCACACCCACGCACCATTCCTGGATGCTGAGGTCCTTTTTGGCACACCATCCCGTGCTGCTGGCAGGCTCCAGGCTTTCTCGGGACAGCAGCGCGCTGGGGAAAAGAAGAAGAAATCCTGCAGTATTTTTCCCCAACCCTCTTTTGCGCAGCCCACCTCCTTTCATCCTTCCCCCCCCCGCCCCCCGCACGCACACAAAAATCAGCCGGATTACTTTCTGTTGGCCTCGGAGGTGGGGTGAGCTCTGGAGCGCTCTGTGGTATTTAAACAGCGCTCGGCGAAAGCGAGCCTGCGCCGGCACGCTCAGCACCAAGGGGAGCTGCCAGCCGGCGTGGGATGGCTCAGCACCAGCCAGGACGCTGCTTCGGGGTCAGATGCCCGGGTGGGGATTTAGACCTCGTGGAGCACCCCATGTGTGATGCTTACGGGTGTCGCAGCGGGGTGGGGGGCAGCAGCACGGCCCTGCCGCTCGCAGTCTCCTTCCTGGCACGGCAGCGTGTCTTTCCCAGGGGAGCAGCCTGGCTCAGCCACGGCAAGATGCAATGCTAGCGCTGCTGGAAATGTCTGCACGTGGTTTGGCACCGGGACAGCTCTAGTGAGGGAAACTTTTCTAGGCTGTGCTTAAACGTGCGTTAAAACTCTGGTTCAGCCAAGCCTTTGCAGGTGATGGGGCGAGCTGGGGACCGGGGCGCAGGGCGAGGCAGGGGTAAGGAGCAGCAGGAGTGTGAGAAAGGAAACCACAAACCCAGCAACCTGAAACAGCGGAAGGATCTGGCCGCTGGGTGCATTTGTATGAAGCAGGACGGTTTAGGATGAGAGTTTGCCTCCCTGCCTGGCTTCCCCTGCTGCTGCGGCCGTGGATTTATCTTCCAACCCTGTGCAGACCATGCGCCCAGTAGGATGCAACTCTGCAGGATCCGGACTCCTTCCCCTGTAACTCCTTCCTTCTCAGCTACCCGTGATGCCAGGGTTTGCCCTGGAGGCACAATGTTCAGAGACAGTCTTTAAAAAGCAATTACCTGCCTGGGGATGGCAAACATCCCCGATTATCCAGCAGCCTCCCAGAGCAGGTGGCCACAAGGGAGGTCAGCCTGGGCCCTGCAAGGCATCCGTTCCTTTCCTCCCTCTCCCTGCGCCAGTGCAGGGCCCAGCACAGCGTTTGTTTTGTGCAGGCGCCTTAGATATTACTTGTCACCTGCAGCAGCAACTTTTACAAGCAAAGAAGACATGGGAGAGCCCCTAGCACCTGGCAGCAGCTGCTAGCAGATTGCTTTTGGACAGAGCCAGAGGGAATCAGGGCCCTGGCAGGGCTGAACGTCTGCTGACGGGGTCCTGCACAACCCAGCAGCCCTTCGCTTTCCTGCCTGTCCCCATTTGGGACCTGGCTGAAGGGCAGGTTGTGGGCCAGGTAATGGGAGAAGGACACGTTGAGGACACGCAGAACTCACTTGTGCTTGGTGCCCATTGCAACATGAGATGGCTGAGATGCCCCACACCTCTGCAGCACGTTTCTGCAGAAAAGGTAAAACCTGGAGGCAAACGGCCCTGCACAACCCACTCCTGGGGTGGGAGGGAAGCATGAGCTGATTAATTCATCTGTTCAGCTGCTTCCCACCATGATCATCAGCTAATTCAGTCCAGCAGCCGTAACCTCGAAAGCTCGGCTCTGTGTGTACATCCTCCCCGGGGCCTGCGGCTGCTTTACAGAGGCAGAGCCTTTTCCACATCAGCCTGGCCCCACTCCTGGGTGAATCTCTTGCCATCATTGCAGATAGTCTCAGGCTGAAGTAACACCCCTAAACCCAAGATCTGGCCCAAGGAGAACAGCGGGCTACTCCTGGCTGCTGGCAAAGGGAATTAAATAAATTGTCTTTGCACCTGATGATCCATGGAGAACCATCAAGGGCCATCCACAAATACTGAAGGAGCTGGACAATGTCACTGCACAGTTCAGGCAGCAGCTCCACAAAGTCTTTTTTTTTTGGCACCTGGGGGAGCATCCCCAACACTGGACATTCCCTGCTTGCACATCGCAGACAGCCCGCGTCCCAGTGAGGGCTGAGCAACGCTGCTGTCCTCCACCCCAGGGACCTGGCGGGCACCAGCGTCCACGCTCATCCCTGAGGGATGCAGGAAACCACAAAACAGCCTCAGACCTTGTGAGCTGGAGGCAGAGGTCTGCAGAGCAGATGTAACTTCTGACAGCCAGTGCCAAGCCAGGAGGAAACTTTCAACTGAAACCCCAGCAAAAAATGGGCACACATCCAGAACTGAGGAGGCTTGGCTGTATAGCAAAGGTCCCAGAGGGAACTCTCAGTCAAAATTTAGATCCAGGCAAGATGGAGCCAAAATACTTAGAGGCAAAATGGTGTCCTCCCACCCTCAGCGGTCTGGAGCCAAAGGAGAGGGGCCAGGAAAACAGCACGAGGGCTGAAGTTGCATCAGCTACAGCCCTGCAAGTCCACGGGGGTGAGCAGCATCTCCCAGTCAGGGAGTTAGCCCCCTGCACAAGATTTTGGAAACCTCGCAGAGTGGAGAGCCCATGGTCCTGGAGCCACCAGGGATCCCAGCTGTGGGGAGGGAGGGCAGGAGTCACTTGGGAGAGAGGAAGAGGTCAGAGGGGCAGGTTTGGGGCAGGAGGGATGTGTTATTGTGGCCACCACATTTGTCTGCCCCGGAGGAAGGAAGAGGGGGGTTGGCCCTGCTCCTGAAGGCAGGTGCATGGCTGAATTTATCCAGGGGGAAGGAAGCAGGGAAGGAAGCAAGCCTGGAGCACTGGGCGGCTCCGTCAGACCTTGCGGGCGGTCACGGAAAGAGGCCCAACAGCGATGTGGCTTTGCGTGGCTCGGCAGGACACAACGGCCCTGAGGGGTGGGGGTGCAGTGAGCCCCCCCCCAGCTGCGGTGCGAGGCTGGGCTCTCCCCAGCCACGTGATGCCCTGCATGGGGTGCACACCAGTGATGCTGCACCCCTATCAGCACAGCACCCCATCAGACAGGGAGATGCTTCTTCCCAGGCAGGGTTTGAAAGCTCTGCGTGCCTGTGCAGACCACAAGAGACAGCAAAAGGGAGCAGTGGGTTTGCTCCGGTTATTCCCAGAGAGGCAAAGGACGCGCCCAGAAAAGTTTGCCTCGGCTATGCAGCATCAGGAACAGCCAGTTCCCCCTCCCTGCTCCACTGAGTCCTGCGCAAACTCACAGGCAGGGAGTGGGAACTTCCTCAGCCACAGATCAGGGGGGACTGGAGTCCTGCCGTTTTCTAAGGCGCAAGGAAAAAAAAACGGGCGCAGATGAAAAAGGACTGCAGTCAGCATTTTAAGCAAGGGTAAGATCATCACCCATCAATCTGCACTTCCTTGATTGCTGCAACAGCCACCTTTCACAAGCCAGGGTGTCTCCCCGGGGAGCGGGACAGGCTCCCCGGTTTTC